ACAGGTGCTAATAGCACTTCAAGGTGATTTGGGATTTAGGCACCCTGGCTGCTACACAGTCCTGCTGAGTATGTCCACATTGTAATCAGTGACTTTCAGGCAACGAAGGAGAGCTCGGGACTTTGCAGGTCTGCAGACCTAACTGTGAGGCTACAGAGGGTTTATCCTCTGATAAATTATCCCTGTTAAATATTAACTGATTCAAATATGTTGGAATCAGCACAAACTCATACGTCAAACAGGAATGACTCTGTAATGAATGTTACTTACAACTGATTGCTTTCAGCTCGATGACCTGCCGATGGTAACGCCCAAAAAATGTCTTGGATGATGCTCACACTGACTTCTGTGTTGCAAGTGTTTGTGGTTTGATTATTTTGTGTCTCCATCACAAAACCAGACTGAAAAATGAATCAAGAGATTATTTTGCTCAAGTGGTCAGCAGATGACAAATCTTTCCATCTGCTCTAGGCCCGAGCAAGTCTGTACCGGACACTTCAATACATGTTTAATGCAAAGCTGGTTATATGATTCTGATTAACTAATAGTGCCATATTAAAATAATGAAACTAGAAAAGAAAAAAACATCCCCTTTTTATCCTACACTGTTAACACACACCGCACAGTGACGCAGTGCCTTGCTTTGCGGGGCCAGAGGTCAACAAGTGCCTCCTCCAAGGGTCCCTGTTTTGCAGTGGCATTTTCTTTTCATGTGTGCTCGTGGGTCAAAGTTTCTGCATTACAATTTGGCAAAGGAATGAGACCGTGTTTGTGTGCTTGGCTGCTGAAAGTTGTGCGGGTGCAATTTGTGTGTGTGTGGGCCAAATGGCCTGTGGCTCCAACCCTAAATGGAATAGACCTTCCTTTGTGGGTGACATAATGACATACCTCGAGCATTTCTTGGAGGGTCTTGTTGCTTTCACTCATTTCCCCTGATTTGTGCAGAAAAGTGGAACCTTCCAGAAACACTTTTCCTGGATGGGGAATTAAACGACGGTGCGTGCATGAGGCTGTGCCCTTAAAAGACACCCTGGCATCTCTGAATGTTAGTGCCTGTAACCTGGCAGGGATATGGAGCAGAGCAAATCCTTCTCGTACGCTTTCATTTTTGTTCATTTTGGCTCTTTGTCTTTCCGCTTTGAACTCCTTAGTAGTCACTTTTGAAACACAGGGCACACGCTGACACAGATCTGTGGATTCTCAGTTCTGTTTTATCTATCTATCTATCTATCTATCTATCTATCTATCTATCTATCTATCTATCTATCTATCTATCTATCTATCTATCTATCTATCTATCTATCTATCTAAGTTATAGATGTTGCTGGGATCACTCTCCCATTCACAGGGAATATTAGCAGCACTTTAAAAAAATCTGCTTTCTTCAAACACAAAATGAAGTGATTTTTTTTTCTAAATAAAGATGCAAATAAAACACAGAAACACAAAGAGCCTGTTACTGTGACAGCTCTATTGAACTTTATGTGGAGTATGGCTTGTAAGAATTGATGGATATAAATCAGACTTCAGAGTGTTGGGGCTGCCACACTCACTTCACCACATGCCTTTCCTCTAATTGCTAAGCTGGAATTCAGAAGGAAATTAGCCACAAAAGCAACCGATTTTGATGTTTACTCAAGGAAATGGTCCCTCTCAGAGTCCTAATGCAGGGAGCAGAGTGCGTTGAAGTCCTCAGGATTGGGAAGCTTTGGGGCCTAATGGCAGGATTAAGTGGGGTCACGACGTGCAAACGGTCCCAAGTGAGCGTCCGTCAACAACAACATCGCTTGTTCTCTGAAATACGCTCCTCAGCTCGATCGCTTGATCATAAAGACCCCAAACTATGCAATTAGCTTTCATGAATACCTTTGTTGTGGACGCAAGTGGAATGGGAAGTGAATTAATTTCGAGAGGGATTGGGCCCTCTTAAGGAGTAAAGGAAAAAGCTTCAGAGAACATCTGGCCAGTGATGGATGGATAGAGCAAGTTTTTGGAGTGCGTTAACAAGACCAAGTGTTTTCAGTTACACTGCAAAAGCCCTCATACTCATCTCATTGTTCCCATCTGGGCTTAATCTGTGGAGTGGGACTGAGGATTGTTTAGTGTGTGTGGGTGTGCGTGTGTGTGTGTGTGCGCGCGCGTGTGTGAGCACACAGTTTCTTACAGTCCAAGGGCAAAATTCACTGGTACTCATGTTTGTATAAATTGCCAAGATACCCACAAAATGTTTCACTTTTCATGCAGCGCTATTAGTGTTCCTGGCATGGTAGCAGTGTTTCCTGTGTGTCCTACTCAGGTGTGCCAGCATGCAGCTCTTCCAGTTCTGGAAATCCAGAGAACAGACTTGCATCCCTATAAAGCCAGGCCAAAAGGAAGTAGCTTCAGAGTTTTCTCAGTGGGCCAATGAAGGAAAAGTTCTGCAGAACAGAAAAGGAGATGGCAGCTCCTACTGGCTGTTGAATCCCTAAGAAAGCTCCTTTTCAACAGTATTTGGATAACTAAGCTTTAGTAAAGCTTATATCTCCAACATGAAATTTTTCTTTTGCCTCTTTCTGAAAATGGCAGGTTATTTTGTACTGAACAGGAATAATCTAGGAGTAAGAAAAGTTTTTGAAAAAGCTCACAATCAGAGATTTTAAAAACTTGGCATGGACATAGACTGTATATAAACAAGGGACAGAGTCTGCAGATCTGACAAGGTAGTATACAAATAGCAGGGGCGGGAAGTCAGTCTATGAGAAAATGACAATGCTGTTAGTTTATGGTTTCAATTTTAGGATCTAGTCATATTTTTTTACAACATGATTCAGTGGGGTATAGTTCAGGATGCTGCTATTGACAAGTGCCTACTGTGTAGGTGTCATATAAACATCTGACTTGGGATCTGGCTACAAAAAAATGAATCAGAATCAGAATACTCAAGACGAGGCTTCAAAATGAAAACCAATGTGTGACATCACTGGCACGAGTAAAAATCCGAAATTAGGTTCTGAGAGGAATTTTATCAAAGACAACTTTTATTGTTCCTTGCAATCCACGTCATGAGTGGAAAGTAAACAAAATCTGACTTTAATTTCTATTCAGAGGAATATCTGGAAATTCATGGAAACTGTCTAAGGTTGTCCGAAAAAGCATAATAGAGACCTCAAAGTTTCGTGGAGAACGGAATATTTCGACTGGGGCATTCATGCTCTGTTTAAAGTATCTGTGGGAGTGCCTACCATTAAAAAAAAATACTAATTTCAGTATTAATTTAGAAAGAATTAACATGGAATTGGTCAAAGCTTTGATGCATTCAGGTCAGCTTAAGAAATCTCTAATTTGCTTTCTTGCCGAGAAATCTAGCTATATTGCTAATAATTAAACTTTCAGGTTAGCAGGAAATTAGCTTAGCTTAGTTTAAAGATTGCAAGCCAGGAAACAGCTAGTCATATTTTGTCCAGGGCTAATAAATTCTGCCATCAAAATCCTTTAAAGCTCACTCAGTAATAGTCTTATCTTATTTATTTAGCTGTATAAAAATGAAAGTGTAAAAATCCAAACTAAGCTAACCGCTCCCGTTCTTTGTTTTGCATTTACAGTACAGAACTTCTGTGAATCTTCTCCAACTCTGCGCAAGAATGTGAATTGGCAGATTTTCAAGAATGGCAAACTACTGCTTTCACATCAGGAGTTGATAAAAGAAAAGATGGAGAAAGGAAAATATGGCTTTTTTGCTGTTTTCCCTCCAAAATCTTGCAGCACTTGATTGTGTTGTTTACCTTTTGATTGCTTGATGCTGAGCTCTAATAACAAGCTGTGACTGAGTGCCCAAAGTGGGCTGTGCCAGCAAATGGCATAACTCTCTGGAATTGTGTTGCACGCTGCTGTGCCAAAGTGCATACAACAGGATATGTTGTTCAGACTACATTATGAAAAAGCATAATGAGATCTTGTGGTTTCATCTGCTTCTAAAAATCCTGCACAGTGCAGAACTCTGATTTAAAGTCATGGCGCTGTCATGCTTTGATAAAAAGCTGCCAGTAGATGGCAACATTACAGCAGATGGACCTTCTTTGTCCACTTCAGCAGTTATATCCTCTGTGGCTCCCACGCCCATTTGGGATAGTTGAGCCTTATGGTGATTTTGCAGGTGGCTGCCCTCTATCCCCTTCTGTTTCCTCTGGAGCCCCTTGTGAATGTATTTGTTCCTTCATCATGAGGTTTATTTGTCATTGCCAAGCTTGAAAGCCGAGCCTCTGG